GCCCGAACAATGCTGCCTTCTTCCCAATAACCTCGCAGGAGTATCGAAACAGAATGCACTATACAATGAAGATGCATCAAGGAGAAGGTTGAGGGGAGGAAATCTGCTTTTTTATTTTGTGATTTTTCGGGGCGGGCGCCAAAATACGGGTGTATATGTGGGTTGAGAATTTGAGTGGCGCACAAAACAGGATCGCTGCTGTGTGATCCATTTTCACTCATAAATCAGCTTCAGTGATTGCAGAGAAACAGCATCAATAAGCGGTACAGTTTGTAGCCAGAATCTTCACATATATTATTGTACGAATCCATCAAATGAGTTTTTGAAATCAGTAGGCTCTTTACGACTATCCTTCAGAATGAAGGACAAATGAACTTTCGTTCACAACCTATTTCATATTCTAGACACAAAGAATACTGCTAATAGCTCGAACCGACGAGAGAGCGGAAATTTTAGCGCTTGCAAAAAGCAAAGCCAGCATAGCTATCCCTTAACCCTAGTTGCTTACCGTGGTAGACTAACGAAGTCTTATATGTCAACCATGCGAATCCTACCTTGGGTTTTTCCCGTTGCGATTTTATCAATGATATTTGCAATCAGCGTTCTAGACTCTATTGGTGCATCTAGGAACAGGAATAGGTCCAAAGTTTCGTGGGAAGTTTTCACTCCTTCGTGAGTGGAGGACAAAAGAGCCACCTTCTTCACTGCACCATTACACCATAACCAATTGCGAGAGGATATGATGAGTATACTAGCGCGACCCGTTATGCATTATCACGCAAGTCTTGCGCTGAATTATAGACACGATGCACACCGAACATAATGTTCTAGTGCATAGCACACCACTGCTGAGCAAACCACACTGGACAGGCTACATGTTTGCCCCAATCACCAGAGGCACATCAGAGGGAAGGAGCATGACAGTTTTATCTCTGGCAGAATACTGAAGTGGAGGCGCTGAATAGAACGACAGTGAGCATAAATGGCAAATTGGCAGAAACTCACTCCGGAAAGAAACACCACGGCGATTGCAATATGCTTGTAAGAAAAGTAACTTTATTTCGAATGACGACAATCCTTCAAAAAATGTCAGAAAGTTTCCCTCACAAAAATGAGAACATGTCGAAACGAAATCCTGGAACGATGTGTGAGTCTTGGGGGATGAAGACAAAAATAACAAAGTAGAAAAACATCAAACTTGAAAAAGGATAACACCCGCTGGAAAGCATCGCGATGTGCATGAAAAAAATATTTCCGTTACCAATATTGACTTTACTCTCCAGAAAGAACAAGCCGCACACCGAAAAATAGTCACACGCGCTACCTGCCTGCTCCTTCTGACATCTGGTTGTTCTCAAATGCTGAGCGCGTGCTTCTCTGTGAGAGAGGACCAGAGAAAAATGGAACATCGACTCCGATGTCAACAAGAGATCCGAATAGCAATATAAAGCCCATTCCGAGCGCTCAGGGAAGTGAAAGGCTGCACATAACAAACAAGGAGTGCCTGGAATTAGTTTACCATCTGAGCACTGATTGTGGACGTAATACTTAACGATATCTTCAATCTCGAGATGTTCCTCATGGTGGATATCTCTGCAGAGCCTGCATAATGCATCACTTCTATAGGTAGATGGCATACGGTAGTCCTTGGTCCATTCAAAGTATCTGAAACCGAAGCAGGGAATTACGTTCGGCAAGCAGCGTTTTTGAATGGTTGCATCAACTGTGGTAGAACGTACTTCAGATACGCAGTGTTGTTCCTGCGCAGGAAATTTAAATAATCGCCCAATTCCTTGGTACTCTTGAAATCGTCAAGAGCAATGAATGAGTTGGACGGGACGTCAGTGCCTGAAACCTTCCTTTAAAAGACATGGCATGATTCTGTTTTGGAACACAACAACTGTTGAAAGTGAAATATTATTTTGTATTGGTTGCCATGTTCTTGGAAAGTGGACATTTTCCATAAGTCTTCTCTCAGACAGCGTTCACGACATCGCGGAGGATTAGGATTGCAAACAAGCACCAATTCCTTGGTACCCCAGTTGCTTTCCTTCAATTTTATACCTTTTTCTTTGTTTCACACTTCTACTCCATCTTGAGCTTCCCTTTTTGACTTGGACGTTCAGTCTCGAAGTGATTACTCGCATTTGATGTATGTTACACGCCATATTGTTCTCACTTACCAGATTATAAATTTGTTTTCATTAAACAAGCAACAAAATATTGAGAACGAAATGAGAAAAAGTTTGCAGTAAGTAAGAGTTTGTAAGCAGTAAGATAAGAATAGAATAAGTAGTTTGCAGTAAGATGGGACTGAAAGGAGCTAACTGATAAAAAGGGATCCAGGATACGATTTGGTAGGGGCTTTGATCCTGGATCGTGCCTGGTACAGAGAATACTAGCAACAACAACTAGGATGACAAATTATATAAGACCGTTAAACTCCAGAAAACAATGAAGACGCTGATGCTGAAAGACAAAACAAGGTTACAGTTAAATAGGCAGCCATGAATTTCGCGGTGGCAACAAGGGCTTCAAACGTTAGGCCGCCTTCACCATTAGCAACCCGCGGTTCAGTATCGCCAATACCACTGGTAACGTTAGGCCGCGAATTGTTGAAACGTTTCAAGTGTTAATTCGATCATATCAAACACAAACTTCTTTCGACCCTAGCAGCGACCCCAGATTAGGGGTGGAGCCCGCCTGTCGCAGTGGCGCTATTCGTTTATCACGTGGCTAAATGATTCGAATCGCCAACTATGAATGCAGCCTAATGATCACATGTGTTATTGAGATTCCACAGCTACCACCGTGCAGCTGCGGCAAGAGGGTGCAAACCAACAGCAAATGATAGCACAGTTCACAAACCTTCGTAGATTTGTCTTTTCATCACGACAGGAACGAGCAACTGAGAGATTCTACTGTAGAGTTTTTCCGTTATATACTCGTTGCACAAACTGTTCTCAAAGGAAATATAAAATCGATGTGTGGCTGAAAAGCTATTGCTTAGCAATTTACAACATACATGCCTCCATATAACTACAAGTTTCCATGCTTGGTCTTCATTTTATATTTGGTTTTTATATACCTAACATGAAGCAGTTTTTCAGAGATGTTGCAGGTTTCTTTTCAAAATAAAAGCATGCCCTTCAAAATTGTGGTAACGACACCAATCTCTTTATAGGCTCCAGACTGAAAGAAAGGTTACAGACATCCAAGTGAAAGAAAAAATCTGAATGGAGGATGTATTACAGTCCTCATCATTACGTGCTGTCGGGGCAGCACAGCCGCCGCACTGTGACGCGACAGCGGCTGCGGCTCGGTGACGGTGAATCAGCTGATTTCCATAGAATTCGGCTGCGAATTCCTCATATTTTCAGCTCTTCAAGCTTCTTCTAAAGTGGAAGGTGAGTTATTCTGACCAGTTTTGAATGCACTGGCTCTGATTTCCTTATTTTATGTCGATTATTATGCTCTTTTCCTTGTATTTTGCCTTATTTCAGGTATTTATTCAAATGGCTTACATTCTTTCAGATTCATTCAGAGTCAGTACAATTCTAAATTGGTCAGAATAACCCCCTCCACTTCAGAAGCTTGAAGAGCTGAAAAAGTGGGGATTTGCAGCCGAATTCCATCGAAATCAGCTGATTCACCGTCACCGAGCCGCAGCCGCTGTCGCGTCACAGTGCAGCGCGGCTGTGCCGCCCCGACAGTACGTAATGATGAGGATTGTGAATGAGGATATAGTCAGTGCTGTGGTGTGGCACTACACGTGGACACAGTTATTGTTATTTGCAGGACTGTAGCTTGTCTGTGCTTCGGATGTCCAATGTAGTCCGTGGTCGCTTTATTTACCATTAAAGCGCAATACGAGAGGGGTTGCGGGAGGGTGGTTACGGTGGAGCAGACGAGGGAGATGAACTCGTAGAGCTCCAGGGCACATAATTGGTTGGGGGTTTCGGTCGAATCCATAAGACCCTCTCCCTAGAAGGTGGATCGATACGACCTCCCCCCCCCGTCAAGGTTTTTTTCCTTTTCATTTGCATTTCTTTCCAACACCTATACGCAAACCAACACCTATCCTCTCTATATATAAAGCAGAAGTTGTGTGTGCGTGTGTGTGTTTGTATGCTTGCGTGTTCGCCCGAACGGACGGACCAATAGGAGAATAGGCTCCGCCCACAATGGGCGGGGCCTATGTATAGCTGAGCGGTGTCTGTTGAAACGTTGTCAACAAAACACTTAAAAGCCGTCAACTTTGGGATGGGGGGTGAGGGCATGTTGAAAGTCACAAACCAAGCCTCGCACACAATAAACGGGGCGTGCACCGAAGTGAGTAGTGCCAACGACAAAAATTCGTAAAATTCCTCCGGAAGATCACAGGGACCCGGGACAAAATCATTCTCTATGCACCACGTTAGACTACACCCACAATGGGCGTGGGGGCACACCCGAAGTGAGCGGGGCGTTTGTTCGGGCGGGCGGGGCCTAACGGCCTAACGCAAATCTTCAAAATTCAGACCCGGAACTACTCGGGCAGCGGGAAAACGGACTCGAGTAAAAAGTGGGCAGGTAGATAAACAGAAGGAGGCACACCCGAACTGGGCGTTTGGAAAGAGCCCGGCAGATTGCAGTCGGCGGGCGTTTGTCTGGGTAGGCGGGGACCAAGTAAAAATTTCGAAGTTCAAACCCGGAACTACCCGAGCAGCGGGAAAACGTGGAGTAAGAAGTGGGTCGAGGTTGATTCGATCGATTTTTGCGAGCAGTGTTTGGATGAACCAGCTCTGTGATCGACTCGAATTTTGTTACAGATTCGAGTGGGCTGCATTCTATGGAGAGGGGGGGGGCGAGGGGGGGGTAACATAAGTGAAGACACACCCCAGCGGATGAGATGCGCGCCGAGTCGGCGGCGCCTGCTGCAAAAGTTCATAATATAGTCGCAAGGCAAGTGAGAACAGCAGTGAATATGAGGTCATAATCGAAAATTCATAACTTACTACCAATTTTTTGCATTTATTTATTTGTTTATAATTACCTGCTATTCATTCTACAACAACTCAAACAAACACACACATACTTCCACTTCAGTTCATCCACTACCGGCATTCCACCCCTCGCCTTTACGAAAATTTCACAACCGTCCACTAGGGGGGTATATACCAAATGTGAAACGGTAATGTTCTGGAATTGCAAAAAAAAATTTTTCTGTAGCGAAAGCGGGCGATCCGACTGGCCCTCAGTTTGGATGGCCGGGGACCCACTTCACACGCATAAGGAGGATCGCCCGCCGAAGGCGGGCGATCCGACTGGCCCTCAGTTTGGATGGCCGGGGACCCACTTCACACGCATAAGGAGGATCGCCCGCCGAAGGCGGGCGATCCGACTGGTACGCAAAAAAACCACTGCCAATCTGAAAATTCCCCCTGGCTTCTGAACACCTTCCAGCACTGAACGTCACCCAGCCAAAAATTTCTGTTCAAGTGAAACTCAGAACATTCCGTAGGCTCACAAGACGGCATCCCAGAAAATCGCTCTCATTTTCTACAGGAACTTAGTTTAGATGCACTGCTGTGCTCTAATACATGTGTTACTACAGCTAACATGGAAAGCCATAAGGCCCCTATTTGAAACAAGTAAAAAGCAAAAAATTCATAACCATTATTTACTATTTTCTGTTGTCTGTTTTATTATTTTTCCATTGTCGTGTTACCTGAGCGAATTAGGGATCCTCAATTACTTTCGGAAATTCTTGGTAAAAAGAGTGGACGTGTGAATGTGCACCGCAAGAGGATGCGTGCTCAAACCTAAGAAATGTTGTGTTCAAACTCGCAGGGCACGCGGGAGGATTTGGCAGCCATGATATATGAATAAGTGCCATTTTAATACGCACGCGTTCCCGCTCTGATTGCGTTTTTCTAGACCCCCGCAAGTAAAGCAACTTGTTTGTGAAGAGTTATAACTTCTTTAAACGCAGACTGTCGGGAAAGAGCAAAATGCAGTCGTGAAGGAAAGGATTTGTGCTTTGCGAAAAGTAGTGAAATGTTTATAAGGCTGCCAAGTTTAAAGAGAAATTCAGCGTTAGGGATGAGTTGAGGGTTTTCAAAATTGGATGCAAAAAGACCAAGACTGTCCTGTTCGAGCGAATATAATCATCTTAAAACTTAATTGTTTGCAACTGGACCCACCGTCGAATACTAGAGGATTCCTTCTTCCCAATAACCACTTCGCTTGTTTCTGAAGTTTTCGGGATTCATGAGAAAAATGCGTTGGGGATTTTCTGAGGAACACCCCGAACAGCGACGATGCCGTTTTCTGTGTACCGTTTCAAGAGGGCGTATTCGAATATCCAATAATGCATCTAGAATGCATCTCTCCGTGGAATAGGAACAAGCGGTAGTTGGTTCAGCGCCCATTAGCTTCATTTGTGGATGCCATGCTTAGGCTCCCACGCAGAGGTAGTGGGATGGTGCAAGTTCCACGCAATGCCTGTCTACGCGAGCAGATGTGTTTATAGGATTCAGGAGGTCCATGGCCAACCTACGCACTTGTTTACAGTCTTGTCCGTTGCGGATGATGGGCGTGTCCGCCACCGCCCGCCGCCGCTCGTCTGAGGAGGCCCGAAGACCACCCAATAAGGAAGGCATTGGAACTCGAGGTAGAGGGCAAGCGACCACGAGGAGCCCCAAAGAAAAGATGGAGGGACGTCATCAAGAGGGACCTCACTGAAGTGAAAGCCACAGCAGAAGATGCAGTGGATCGGAACAAGTGGCGACGTCTAACAAGAACAGCGGACCCTGCGACGGCGCGGGACTAACGCTAGGGAGAAGAAGAAGAAGATCAAGTCTGTTATCGTATTCGCCTCGCATCCTGGTCAAACGATATAGATGTATATTGAACCTAATTTTGCAAAGCAGATGTTGCATCCAGGTCAAACGATGTAGATGTCTATTGAACCTAATTTTGCAACAGATTTTGCTGAAGCTAAATTTGGAACGGCTCCGCTACGGCTCTCTATATCTTTTGACCTCGCGAGTCATTGCATAGACCATAATGCATCCATTCATGCGTGACATCTCAGAAAGCGATTAATCAGTTGCAAAAGATTTTGTTTTTTGTCCATCGTCATCAATGTCGCTATCACTAAAACTCCATAATTTCGTGGTGTAGAGGCTCCAGCGTTTGATTGAACAACAACTGCATCGTTCTCTATCAGGCCCTATCAGCTGTTATCATTTCTTGTCACCCGCCGTCGCATTCTCCACCTTCCCCTTGATATCATTTGCTGAAATGAACTGATGCTGTGTACCGCGTTATGAGTATGTTGTCCTTTCCACTCTAACTCCCTTTATCAGCGGCTAGCAGTTCTTGTCACCCACATATTCCTGTGCCATAACCTATATCATACCTTGAAAAAACGCCCCAGTGTTCCAGTCGGACCGTCCCTCTGCTTCCTTCTCTTGCGCATGCTCAGATCGGGCTGAGCACGCGCAGGGGAAGGAAGCAGAGGGGGGGGGCGCCCAG